TCGATGATTATTCCTATCAGTAATATACACTAATCCTTGACTGTCAATAGCAATGTCAAATGGAGACTGAAACTGTCCATTAGCTGATCCATAGCTACCAAATGAATGAGAGAAGGTTAGATCAGGATTCAAGACTTGTATACGATGATTATCACAATCAGCAATATAAACCTGTCCTGTTATAGGAGAAATGGCTATACCATCAGGATTGCTGAATTGTAGTGGTCCATTGCCCTTCTTACCAACTGATGCTATAAGGTATCCATCCATGCTTATCTTCTGGATCCTGTGATTATCAGATACAAGAATGAATTTGTCCGGAGTAATGGCTACACCACGAGGACAAGAAAACGCGACTTTACCACTTTCTCTTTTCCCTCCTAATGATTTCACTTTCTTTCCTTCTCTATCCAGTATTGTTACACAGTTACCATCAGTCTCAGTTATTATAATATGGTTATTACCAAATATAGTTATTCCATAGGGACCATTAAATCCAGTTATAGTACATACTGGAGTGATGTTATCAAGGTAAGGATTGAAAGGGATGAATAGTGAGGTATCCTCAAGGTGTACATCATATACTTGTACTTTTACTGTATGAGTACCACGTGTTGAAGGGTTACACTGTATCCTATACACTCCAGGATCAGTGCTGGTGGTAGTGACTGTAGTGTCAATGGGTTTATGGCCTTTACCAACTGGTACTAGACTACACCTCAGAGAAGAGAAGGGAACACACAAAACAGATGAATCTGGTGCCTCCATTGATAGTGAAAATGAAACTGCTTTGTCAGCAGGTGTAATACAATTAATCTTCTTCAATCTACATGTACACTGCTGTAGTGCAGTAGATGAGTAGGTCACAATATCTCCAATGTGATGTAGTGATTTGATATCTTTACTCAATACAAAATCACCTTTTTCCTTTGGATGTAACTCCTCCACATTGATCCTTTCAGTAACTTCACTCATACGCTCCATTATCTGTTTTTTAGACCTCAGGACTTGTTGAGGACTGCCTGTCTTCAGACTCCGTTCCACTTCATTCTTAACATCCTCCAGAAGATTCAAACTCATTTCTGCTGATTTCATTTGCTCTGACAGCACCTTTAGTTTAGCATCAGTGACCCTCTTTGCCTGCTCAGTCAGTTTCCTCTCTGACTCACGAAGAACATTCATCATTTCCTCTACCATTTCATGTATTTCTTCTAAGACTCCTTCTCCTCTCTCTCTGATCTCACCCTCTCTCTCTGCTAGAGCAGACAGGACCTTCTTGAGTGCTTCCTTCTTTCCCTCAACTGGTGATAGACATTCTCTTACCTTTTGACAGTGTTTAGTATAACTGTCAGTGATTAAGTCATATTCATGATGTTTGTGATTACGAAAAGAACAGGTAACACAGATTACTGTATCACATGTTTCACAGAATAGCTCCAAAGGCTTTCCGTGATCACTACATGTGGCCTCTTGAAGATCTGAAGTCTTTTTCAATAGACTGTGGAGGTTGTTGAGAGTGAATGCTACAGGAAAGGCTCCTGCTCCTTCTTCTGGTAACTCTGTACAATGACGACAAGTGGGACAAGAGAGGTAATAGGTCTCATTCTTCTTATCCAGAGGTAATTCCTCCAGACAGTGCTCACAGAATGAATGTAGACAAGGTAAAGTCTTAGGGTTGGTATAGTGGTCAAGACACACAGGACAGGTGAGCTGTTCCTCCAGTTTGAGTCTGAGATCAGAAGATGATTTGGTTGCCATTTCAAGAAAAGAATAAAATTGGATACGTAAAGCAAGAACAAAAATGAAGAGAGATGAAGGTAAGATTCCGCTCAGCTATTATATAAGTTTATTTATCATGTACACGAGATGGGTGCAGCTGCACTAGTGAAGGTAGCGCCTGTATCGTGTATTTATCATGTACATCATGTACTTATCTTGTTTTGTGGTGCACTAGTGTAGATATTGCACCAAATGAAGATAGAGCAAGAATGAAGGATAAGGAAATAAAGAAGTTGGAATGAACAAGAATGCAAAATAAAGTAGAACAATAAAAGACAGAGCAACAGGAAGACAGCTCTGATGACCTCTTGGAATAGAGCTGTCTTGTGATTGAAGGAAGTTATGATAGCACATTCCTTTATTATAACAACCAGTATATAGTAAATGAATGAAAATGTAAAGCAAAATAGCAACTGAAATTCCTGTATGGTGCAGTTTGCAAGCTAATTGCAAAAGATATTTTTATCTGCAAATGGTGTAAAACAATGTGGGATTTGTGATCTTATAATCATTAATGCATGATCAGTAATGGACTGATCTTGCATGTGCACAAAAATCGCTAAAATAAAAACCGCCAATTACAATTTCATAGCAAAATTATTAAAATACAATTGAAATAGCAGCTACTCCTGGAGACTCCATTCTTCATGGCCATCAGTTGCCCATAGCATGTGCTGAGACTTGTAATCTCGTTATACATGCACATGTAAATGTAATGTACATGTATCAGAAAACTGAACAAAGACAAGTTTCATAGTTGTACATGTACATGTCATTAATTTCAGGAGTTACAGTTCTTCTACATGTTACAGTTACAGTTGAATCTTCTTATGAAAGACAACACTTCTATGCC